ACACACACACACACACACACACACACACACACACACACACACACACAGAGTGTAACCCAATGGGAGCGGGTGAGCGGGAAAGGATCGAGACATCTGTTCCTCCTTTGGTGCGTTTGTAACACTTCCAGAAGACATAAAGAAAAGTTTGCTGTCGGAGAAACTTTTTAACTGAATCATAATCCGAGAAAGCGATATGTGGGAACGGAGGGAGGGCAGTTAAAGCCGCGACGTTTCGCCGCCGTCTCCGCCGGAGTAAACAGGAAATATAGCGCTCATAAAGCCGTGATAGGGTCTCTTAAATTGAATAATACTCAAGTTTAGATTATGCTAATGAGACGTATGACAACGGGAAGAGGCTGTGTAGGTGTGTTCATGTTGAGATGTGTGTTACATGTGCAGTAAACTGTAATATAGCCAAGTAAAAGATATTTTTTTCAATGAAACAGTTTAAAAGACCTCAAAGCAGGTTGAACAATCAAATGTAAATTATGATTTAATGGCATTTCAAATGGATTTGACTGCATAGTGTGTGTGTGTGTGTGTGTGTGTGTGTGTATGAGAGCAATTTATCTTGTGTAAAGGAAGCCCTATAGCTCGCCTGAACAACTGTTCAAAATGCTTAAAATCCAATGAAGTGTTTCCGATCTTGCCTAAAAAGTTTACAGCAGGGACCCGTCCATAGTGTGTTCGTGTGTGCTCATACCCAGCTCCGGTCATCGTCTCTGTGTTGCTGACAGCCAGGCTGACCACCTCGGAGACGTCCACCCGGCCGATGGCCGATGGGCTACGCTCGCTCTCGTAGTAACTCAGGAAGCCGCCCTCTAAAGTACACCAACGATGGGCCATGTCTGAAATATACACAAACACACACAGACACATATAAGATACACCACGTACGGGGTTTACACATTTTGTATTACGTACTTCAACTACCTACAAATAATAGTTTTAACTAGTTATAGGTTCTCAATATGGAATTCAGAGCATATCTACTGCAGGGGCTACATTAATGCTCTAAATACCACATTGAGAACTTTTCATTTGAACATTTATTGTTTTAGGTTGTACCCACAATTCTCCAATATGTCTGGCATCTATTTAATAACTACTGTAGAGCCATGATTTGCATACTGATAAACATTTAACAAATTGGCTATTGTTTGAAGAGTCAGAAAAAGAAATGAATTAGTGCCTGCAATGTTAGTGATTGGGTTGTGAACAATTAGCACCACTCCAACCCCATTTAACGGCGCTAATGACTCTCTACCAGCTAAGACAGCACTACCGAGAAACCGTTTACAAGTCCGGAGATAAGACGCGGTGCATTCGGCTTTCACACTCTGATAGATGAATGGAGATGTGACAGCGTCATAAGCCTCCACCTTTTGTTCAAGAGAGCAGTTAACTCAAAAACAAAGTTGTTGTTTTTAATCCAAAGCCAAACCGAGCAGACGTAAAAAAAAGATCACACCACCTGAAGGCCGGCGTTTCGAGCAAACACGCCTCCAGAATCAACATCCAAGAGAAGAAATAAAAAAAAAGAACATCAATAAAGCAACAAAAGAGGTAATGGCATGGAGAGAGGAGTGCAAACATCTCACTGTTGAAGAACAGAAGATGTAGTCGAAGATGAATCGGATAGGAGGAGGCGGTCCTTTCTTCTGTCCATTTGAGGACGACTAAGTCAAGCTTACTGAAGACACACGGCATTAGAAGAGTCGAGCTTTGTTTATATTTGCACTTTGAATTGTGGCGCGAGCCTCCACAGCCTCGCACACGCTCGACGCTCTTCAGATGGTGGCAGCATAATGCCCGAAACGAACCTCCCCAATGCTGAGGAGGAACCGTAAACTCGTATCTCACATTCATGGACTCCTTATTTGCCTTCATACAAGCCCTGTAGAGAAAGAAGTCAAGTATTAGATGCACTATAAAGAGGCGGAGGTTGAATTTCCTGTAACAATTTGATTTTGGCTGGCAAAATATGTACTCAAATGTAGATGGCCGTCTTTGTCAAATCCTCAGACAGGTTCATCGTGCTTTTATTTAGGGAATATTTGTGACATTAATGTCTGAAAAGCTCAGAACGCTGAGCGAGCGTCTGGTGTCAAAAGTTCAGAGGTGAGAGCAGTGATGACGTCATTACCGGTCGCTTTTTAGAGACTCTAAGTGCCGAGCAGATTTCTATCAACAAGCTTGATCTCGACGGAAACGCTGGAGAACAACATGGTCTTTCATGACTGTCTGACTGTGCGATTTACATAGCCAATGAGCATGAAGTTCATGAAAACATACCTAATTTTGGATTTTTACAAAGTCACCGTGCCATCTGCTTTTGTGTTCCGCAACAAACAAACACACACACACACACACAAACAGCCCCCCCCCCTCCCCTCGCACCCCCTGTCGCTTGTGACTCCAAAGTTTCCACTGTATTCATCTCATGAATATGCTAATTGCACATTCCTCTGCCAACTGTGTGTGATGTTTCTGAAGGGACAGATATAGTAAAAAAGGAAGTGTCTACAACTGTCTGTTAAAAGAAAACGGGTGTGATAAGCATAGGAAACGAGGATGTCAGATTCGCTCTCTTTCACCCTTGCACTGCCTCGCTGTATGGCTCTTTCTGACTTTTTCTTTTGTCTTTCCTGTCTCCAAAAAGCAATTGGGACACAAACGTCAGACGGCATTGAATCTGCAAAACGACTAATATCTTGTTGCTTACTGTGGCATTTAAAAAAAAGACTTTTCTTCTGACCCCACTGCGCTGAGAGAGAAAAAAAATGATTCCAGCAGCTGAATAATCAGAATCTTTATCTTAAATCATGCGTGCAGGTAGCAGCTTTGCATGCGAGTGCGTTTGTGTGTGTTGGAGGGAGAGAGATACTCTGGTATTTAAAGTCATTACCAATCCCATCTGTCTGACAGGACGGACTGTTGTCTTGGTGATGGAAGAGATCGTAACTTCCCTTCCGTTCCAAATGGATTTCCAGAAAATGTCATGGCCATCATTTCCCACTATAATACAGTTAAGTTTGTATTTTGTGAGGTATTTTCCAGCAATTTTGCCTCCATAACTAACTGAGTAGTTTCATTTGTACCGTCTGAAAAACTCATACCATAATAATCATCAGAAGCACACTTAAAGCACACCAAATCAAGTCAATTGCTATCATAAGTTGCTAGAAAACTGCCATTGATTATCTCGACATTTTGCCTTTTTCCCTCATAATGCTACATTGTGGACAACAAATACATATTACATCTTTAACTTCTTAACACTAGTGCAAAGTGTTTATTGCTTTGTTTTTCTATATTAACTTGGTATCAGATAGGGTCATGGTATTGGTATCTGGTACACATTTCCATTAATGCGACATCAATGGCGGCAAATAGCTATTGTCTAAAATGTGAGGGGACCCAAGATGAACAACATCGTAGGAAAGCACTAAAAACATATTGCTGCTCAACAAAATTATGTTTCTTTTTTTTTTCTCTCGTAGATTCCTGCATATCTTTTGCTTTAACTCGAAAAAACTACTGAAATAAAACAGGATTTAAGTGATGAGGGGTCACGGAAGGCTTTGCTTTGTCTCGATTGTCCTAGAACATCAGAATTATTAATAGATTTAATTTTCATGTTGGCACACGTGGCGTTCGGATCCTGTCTCCTTGAAATGTCGGACTGTACACTGTAGTAGAGGGGAGAAAGAAGAACTTTTTTATTTTTTAATTTTCTCTCAACTCCAAGGAGAAAAGACATTACAAATCCCATCGTGAATCCAGGAAGCAAATTGCTACAGGACCCCGGGTCCCTGGGCTCACCACTCCACCAAGCAGCTTCTGAGGAGTTGTCCTAATATTGGCCGCCAACCCGAAAGAACAGATGCCCACATAAGAATGAAACACAAGAAGAGGGTTTAAAGGAGGGCCAGAAAGGTGCAGAGAGTTTGACAAATGTAATTCCAGATACACTTATCTCTTTTGGGTTTGAATAGTGAATGGACATGAAGGATTTGGTGGACTGATGGGAGGACAGAAGGTGGCCTGAAAGTGACAGAATACCTCAAAAATAGAAAGACGTGTGGTGGTGTGGCTGTTATTTCAGCACAATAATGACTTCAGTGTAAATGTGGAATAGCTGCAGTGAGTTTTACTCAATTGAATGGAACTGTTATTCAGCTATTTTAGGATTTTGTTGCAGAAGTTACTTCCTCACAGAGTTATGAATGCCTTTGCATCCCTTCAAGATATTCCACCAGGAAACTGGCTCTATCAAAAAACCAAAACGCACATCGGCAAATCTCATGCATCCTTCTTCTTCCTTCTTTGTTTGTGGTGCAGAATTTCCTTCGCGGGCGGGATACCACAAGCTTCTACACAAGCAGCCGTGCAAAAAAATAAAAAAAGGGGGGACAATAGTGCTTGATTTACAATCAGGCAGCTGCGTCCATTGCCAGCTGTTCCCCACACAGACACACACACACACACACACAACAGCAATGGCCCCCGCGGCCCAGCCGTTCTCCACGGGAGTCCGCAACCAGCCGCCAGAGACAACACTAGCGGAAGCCAACCGTGGTATGTGCCTCCACCAGCTAAATTGGGCCAATTAGCTTGAACGCCAAGAGTGCTCCCCGCATAGCTTCTTCTTTTTTCAAGAAGAAGTGTGGAATCTCTTTCTCTGCTTTATTTTCTCCTCGCTCACTTCGGTAATTTTGTCAAATTCGCTAACTGCTCCAAGTACGCAAGATGAACAGGTTGATTAAACTCATCAAGTCGGCAATACGGCAAATTTAAACAGTCGTATTAGTCATTGGCTGAACGGCCAAAGTTAGAGAATTACATATTTACTCAAAAGTCTCGGATTGTGTCTCCAACTGCACTGCTCGAGATTTGGCCAATGTCCCCCGAAACTTTTTTTATCGACACTGCACAGACACCCATTTCAGTATGCATCGAAAAAAAAGCAGGCTGTGCCCCCCTTTCCAGTGAATCACCCTCATCCCTCGCTCGCTCTCCCACCTCTCCCCCCCTTCCGCCAATCTTCTGCCTATCTCGCCATCGGACTAAAATATCTGTGATGAAGACATCTGCTGGACAGCTTGTCAGGGGAGCTGGAAATGGAAATCGAGAAACTGAAGGGATCTGAACGATCTGTCTGTGCCAGAATTACAGCCCACTTCATTACAGGGAGGAATGGACAGATATGGCATAAGATAAAGAAGAAGAAAAAACACTATTTGCCATGTATTTTTGGCCTTAAAAAAAACTGCACTACTGACTCATTGAGGCAAGCAGAGGCACAGTAGTATGAACACTCCGAAAGCATATTAAATTAAGACTAATTGTTTAAACAGCTTTCGTGTTTCCCATGAATGTGACTGCTTATGTATTCCGATCATGAAACACACTTTGACAGCTAATTTTTAGCAGAAACCATAAACAATATTTGGTTTATTATCAAAAACTTGACTCCGGCTTTGTAGATGCGGGTAATTGAATGTTCATATGCGCTCAGATTTGTGTGCTCAATAAAACTGTGAACATCATTCTACATTTCTCTCGACTCTCCACACCACCTCATCCTCTTCTTCTCTCTCTCTGGCAGCGGTTGAGTTACTGTTACAGAGCGCAGCTGATGAGGAGAAGACAAAACTAATCAGAAATTAGGGGCTGGCCTTTCCCTGCTGCCACTCACCATTTCAGAGAGTAACCGCCTTGCCTCTCTCTCTCTCTCTCTCTCTCTCTCTCTCTCTCTCTCTCTCTCTCTCTCTCTCGCCACCCAAGACTCTCCCGAGTGGCCAGACACACACACACACACACACACACACACACAGACAGAGATGCACACAAAGCATGTACACACTCCTTAATGTGGAAGTAGCATGACTTCATTTACGCTGGAATGAACTGCGTAAAAAAGCCTAATATGGAGCGGAGCTCAACTGAAGAGGTAATAAAGTGGCTCCACGCTGGAGAATAAACCAGTTCAACCTAGATTTCAGCACAAACATAACAAGAAGGAATATTGTTCTAATCCTAATCTACAGTCCCGGCGGCGTCCAGACTGAACACGGTGTTTTGCCAAACGCTAAGTAGCGCAGTATTTTATTTCATTTACGGTGGACTGGCACAATGATCCCCCATACGAACCCCTGTCGAGGCCATTACCAACATCGCTTGCCAAATTAATTCATGTCGTACTCTCAATTTAGCTCCCCATCAGCGGAGGCACGAAAGCCTCTTTTGGAGTCGTCTCCAGACAAAAAGTTTCGGATGCTGTGGCAGAGTGCTTTTATTAAGCCCCGACTACAAACTATGAATTATTAAGTTGGGTGTATCTATAGACCATCTCACCATTAGCCAGGAAGCGAAAAAGGCATCCTGGAGTACGCTTAAAAAAAACAAACAAAAAAAAAACACCTCGTCCCTCCATGGTCGCAAAGTCCTGACAGTGCTCCCTCATGATTGAAGAAGCTGAAACGCATTGAGTTTTCGAACCCAACCCCTCTGAATTTTTTAACAGCCTGCATCTGCAGTTAAAGCCCCATTAAAGCACAAAAGCCAAACTTGTACGGCTCTTCATAATAGATGACATAACGGGGTGTTTATCATCCGAGACATTACAGAAGTCATCAGAAGGGTACAGCTTTGGAATGGCGCGGTGTCTGTAAGTGGTACAAAATGCACAACAGTGACTGAAAATGGACCTCTAGCAAAAACAATGTGCATCTGTAGTCTTGGTCCATCTCGAGTGAAAGGCTCTCTCTAATGTCATACCAATGGGTTTTTTTTCTATAAATACAGCCAATAGTGTTCTTTTTCTGTAAGTACTTTAACATGAGGAATCACCCGGAGAAAGAAAAATGCTTGATTCAGGCGGATGTTTTCACGATATAGTCGTTTGAGCAAATATAATGAAAGATTATTTTAAGTGGTCAAGATAATCTGGCAATTTTAATTGAAACCTGATTATCCGACCAATCAGACTTAGCAATGTTGCCATGTTTCCCAGGTCCAAGCAATTTCCTTGGCGAGTGCAATATTATCATAACCGCCATAAACGATGGCCAGCCATTATGGAATTAGGACCCAAATTGCAATACATGTGAACCATCCTTCAACAAATGAAATGGAAGTGAATCTCACCTCTACGTATAATGACAATTTCAATAGACACTGGTGAGAATTTGTTTCTGCCATCTCCTCTAAGGGGCAATTTCCAAGAACCTCAGCCCTGTTCATTAGCCGGCATGTACGACCACCAATGAGAGCAGAGCGTGTGTGCGGGGTTGACGGAAATAGAGATGGATGTCTTGCCCAAGACGAAGGAGATTCCACTCATCCGAGTGGTAGGTAGCCGCAAGCTGTCAGGTCCCACCCGGAAACCACCCCCCCCTCCCACATCCTCCATCCCACTCCTCCACCTTTCCCAATAACCCCATTCCTGAGGGGCGTCATCCAGAGCCGGCTCCTTCTCCTAATTACCCACGGGGCCCCGAGAAAAAGCTCCAGCTGTTTGGAGAAGTGGGACCGCTGCGGAGCAGGAGAGGTGCAGCAGCAGCAGCAGCTGAGGAGTGTGGAATGGAGCCTGATTAAAAGTTTTAAACTGCTTTGGAAGACAGGACAAGGAGATTTGGGAGGGGGGGGGGTAGCATCTCTTAGGTGGATTTGGAGAGGACTTGAAGTGAATTGTTAAATGTATTTTTATCTTAATTTTCTTAACCCTGGCCTTAATTTACGCTGTAGCTACTGACGTAGAGCATTCAGTGCTGAGTCGTCTGAGAAGATCTTTCATACTCCCAAAGGACCGATGCAGAACGCATTTGAAAGACAGATTCATTGATCGTTTAGACCGGACTGTTTGGTGTAAGGATTAAACGATTGGCAGTTTGACAACTGACAGACTGACACTGATAGCGCTTAACTGGAGTAGATCTCTTGACAAACACGCAGTTTAAATTGCTTACAAAAGGATTGACGGATTGATCGGCCTCGGCAAAATTTTTCTTTTTTTTAAAAATGCATCCGTGCTCACCATCTCTTCCGCGGCGGTCCAGCGTCGTCTTGGCTGGCCCGGTGGAGATGTAGAGGAAGCCATCCATGAAGAGGGATACGTCAGACAGGGAAGGGCTCTCCGACCACTGCTCCAGCCTGGGGAAGTCTACAGTGAGAGGGGGGGGAGATACAGTAGGTGAGCAGGGAAATGGTTTTCCCCAATTAATGTAATGGTGGCAGTGCGCCATTCCGATGCCTCACCAGTTCACCTCCACCTGCAGCGGTAACATTCAAATTCTAAATTTGGATAACTTTTGCCGTATTTGACCAATGAGTCCAATGAGAATCGTATACGTCATTTGGATTTTTTTTAAAACCCATTTAATTATCGAGGATTATAGAGCATATTTCAAGACACATACCGACATGTACAGTACTGGATCTGTAAAAGAAATAGTTTTTATGTTCAGTCCCGTCTTCATCTTTGTCCGTTTAAATTAAAAGCCTTCCTCGCTAATTTCTTTCCTCTTTTTCCTGCTAAACTCCCTCATCTCATCCTTTGTCGCTGGCTTTAAGAGCTCCCCACATTCAACCTTATCGTTCTCAAATTCAATTAGCTTCAATTCTGGGGTTCAACTTTCTGCCGGAGCCTTGGCAATATCTCACAGATTTGTATCGTCACCACCTCCAGCTCTCTCATCAAGGCAAGGTAAAAGACGTATAATTGAAACCACTTTTAATTGAAGCGACATTTCCACCCTTTACTGACACCACCTCATCTTAAGGCCGCGTATCGCTCCGCAGAAACAATCAGTTCATTCAACGAGACGGCTTACTCTGTCGAACTAATTAACTGTGTCCATATGCACATTAATGATCTTTGAATTACAGTAAATATTAGGAATTAATGAGCATATTCTGAAAAATGAAATAAAACAGATGTCACATATCACATGTAAGAACCTCAATTAAGTATTTTTAAAAATAAATGATCTTGTTACTTTGAGTTGAGTATTTTTATATCAAAAGCTGTCTCTTTACTTTGGCGGGGTTAGCTGGTCAGCACACATCACATTTGATTGGATACATGTATGTAAGCAGCCCTAGATGAGTCATCGAAATATGGTTACGTTTTCACATCTTAAGGAAAGAAAATACTTAAAAAATATATTTATTTTCCCCAACATGTTGATGAGTAATGAAGACCGTAAGGAAAGACCCAACAAATACACTATCATCAAGATCAGTCTCGCTAGTAGCAATCAAATCAACACCAGCACCACATCTGGCATGATGGAGGCATTTTTATTCACAAGGATGTAGAGCCAATCAGCAGCAGGGTGACATTAGGGAGCAACATCTGTAATCTGGCTTTGAATCTACCACGGACAGTGTGTCCGCCAACAGCAGCATCATCAATACATGGAATCTGACAGGATTTAATTAGCAAACTGCAGGGAAGTGAATCCAACACACATACACACACACACACACACACAATATTTTCCAACCACTCAGGTTGAGAGAATGTAAATAAGCCAGTGGCTTGATGCTGTATCAGTTGTAACAAGGCTCTCTCTCTCTGTGTGTGTCTGAGCCTTCTAAACAGTCCCTCTGGGCCCCTAAAGCTGGACTCTGTTAAGATGGGACTGTGATGTCTGTGGGGGCGGCGGTTGAGAAGTCTGGCCCGTGCTGATTGGCTCAGTCCCCCAGCGAAGGGATGTGACATGACAGAGTGCTCAATTAGCCATCTGGTCGCCCACGGCAACGGTCACAAAGTGGTCCCCGACAAGCAGTGGACAGTGGGGTAATCAGCGCGCGCACACACACACACACACACACAGTAAATAACACAAATGGCTAACATATGCAAGGCAAGCATGGATGAAATGTACAAGTCAGCTAAAGATAAGAGACTACACGGACTGTCATTCACATGGTTACAGACATGCAACTATTCAGTGAGCTGTTGAGCCAGAGGCCACACGCACATTTTCAAACTTGAAAATTAAAACCATCCACACACAGACACTCCACCAGGGGAAACACCTCCGTTATTAAGACTCAGAAAGACTCACCGGCTGCTTGTGACCTCCTGACCCTCCAATAGCCCAGTGTACGGTTTGTGTACGAGTTAAAAACATGCACGTCAACAACCTGGCAGAGCCTTGCGATGCTGCTAACAGCAGGGTGGAATAGAGACCCAAGAATAAACAGGGCCTCTGATTTAGTGTGTGTGTTGATGTTCATCTTTTTATTATCCACACAGAAAGTCGGCTGGATAAATTTTTAATGTGCCGCGAGATTTCAGAGATTCGAGGCGTCGGGGATGCTGGGGTGGCAACAATAAAACTCTTTTTGCCTCCAAATCCGCGGTGTGTCATTTAAGAAGAAGCGGGATGATGTCAACAGCGAGAGGCATTGCCGGCTTAGCTCGGGGTTTTTAACGCTAGAACGTCCTCTTGGGTGGAGTGAGGAGCTCCCATAAAACACAATTTACATGTTTACACTGCTCTGTCTACAGTTAAGACATTAGCTGATGCTCTTATCCAGAGATTTACAGGGTAATAGCCGGCAGGGGCTCACTGTCGTGTTGCAAGACACACAAGTTGTTGTTGTGAAGAAATCAGATTGCAAGCTTAAAGCTACCATTTGTGTTTTGTTTATACGGTAAGCATCTTAGAAATAGTTCTAATGGCACACGTTTTTGTTTGGTGACAAGTATGGCACTGCTTTCTTCAAAGTATGGCATTCTAAAGACTTGCTTCAAAGCTGCACTATTTCATATTTTTATGTGAACAGTACGTCAAATGAATATGTGTCACTTATAAACGCACAAATGAAACTTTACGTCCAATTTACACATTTCAACGAACATACGTCAATATATATGAGAGCTCAGATACACGATGCAACCGCTGACCTCTTTTAAAATGTACCACATTACAATGTTTACAAAACTCAAAGCACTGATGTGAACCACTACTCTAATATGTTTTGACATGAACTGACTGGACCAGGTAGGAGTGAAGTTGGCATAAATGGATCCTGCATGTCTGTGTTCTGACATGCAGTGGCATGGAGCCTCCAGTTGTTAATGTTAAGCACCTGCAGCATTTAAGAACCATTTAGCATCGTGTCTTTCCAGTCCGACGGGGACCAGCGGCACCAGCACAGAGAGCGGGCCATGTCCAAGGAATGAAACTTATTTTCGGAGTTAGGAAACTGTTCGTTGGCCAAACCTGTCCTCTGGGCCGTCCATTAACGCCGCAAACTTGGGAACGTGACAGCGACGCTGGCAACACCGTCAGTATACTAAGTTAGATTAGCCGGTAAGGTGTTGGAAATGGGAACAATTTGGGTTTTTACAATGCCCATTTTGTTGTGAAGAGAATTTAAAATTAAGAGTCCATCACTAGACATAACTTCCAATTTATGATAGACGGAATAACGGGGGAATTGGGGCAAAAACTGCCCACTGATTGGTTTCCTTGACCACTGAGACAGTGAATTATCATTCAAAAAGTGGCATCAACCATCAAAGTACAGTCTCCACAGTTGTGCGTGTCTGATGTCATATCCATCACTATGTTCAAAGTGGGAAGTGACAGGACAGACGGCGGTGACAGCACAGTAAGATGTGAATTGTGCCAAAATAGATTACCGTGAGACACGTTTGACGTTGGCAGTGTGTTCATTTTACAGTTTAGCTACAACAGTGCCCATGATAATTTAAATTAACCTTATATTAGATATTTTAATTAGTTTCCAATGTGGCTTATGAAGCTTCTCGAGTGCAACATATGGAAAACACACTGGACATGAAAAATGATGAAGGAACCTAAAGATATACAAGAAACCGCCTCAGTGGAAGCATTCGCCCTCGGGGGTGCCTGAAAATGCGAATAGACACTGCCTCGGAGAGCTGCCATTGGCGTTATTTTAATGAAATCTGGGATGGGGGAAATATGTAAATGAACATGTATCCCAGGGTGCTATGGGGCGAGCAGGTGTGGGCGGGACAGCTAGGTCCGTGGAGGCCCGCGTGCATGCATTTAGATGTATGCAGAGAGAGAGGGAGCTAATGAAGTAGCAATGCTCTGGCATCAGAGGACGTCCCAATGCTGGAGCTACAAATGAGCCGCTGTGGAAGGAAGGGACAGAGGCGAGGTTTCTGGGAGATGCAGGCTGACAGCTTTGTTTTCAGACACTACATCCGGGGGGAAATAGAGGCGCTTCTCTAGTTTTTATTTGTATAAATTGGGAGCGCGCTCCACACTGCGAAGGAGACGCGGCCACAATGTTTTCCTCACACCGAGAGGCACTCCAATTCAGATTTTAGTTGTGAAGAGTGAGAACTGTTCAGTCTGGCGATTGTTTATCGCCGTCTTATCTCAGCCTCCCACCGGGGGGGGGGGAATAGGGAATTTGGTGAAGAACCATGCCTGTTGCCATTTCATTCAATATAGTTTCTGGTTTTACGGCACCATGTGGCGGTTGAACGAAGGCCTGAAGTGCACCCTGGTTGGGGATGTGTGCTTTATGAGATCAAATAAAAAGAAGGGAGAATACTAAGCACATGGCCACCGCAGGTCCGCGCATAATGCCATGACAGCAGACGTCCACTTCAAACGAAAAGGAAACACTTTTATCTATCCTTATGTCACCTCGCATGTGCCGAACTTTAACTGTAACCCGAGGCTTAGGTCTCCTAAACAACCCCGCGCTCTGTTTTGTTCTTGATATTGGCTGCTATGTTGCTCTCTTTATTCTCCTCTCTATCTTGGCTGTTTCAACATCAAGCTATACAGCAGGGATGGCGCCATGTGGGTATTGAATTGTTCCCAGCCTCTGCCAGACACAACCGCTGAAAAAGTTCAATTTTTTGGGTTTAATCTAAATTTTCACAAGTCTTTTTTTTTCTTTTTGCAAACTCTGGGGGCTGCATGCACAAAAACAAAGGAGACGCCACTTTCCACAGCTTTGTGTGATGTGACAATGTGTCCGGCAGTCGGAAAATGTCAAACAGGGAATTTGGACAGGGTTTTGTGCGGAGCCTAATCTTTTCAGCACCACCATAATAGTCACATAGTCCGTTTTTTTTCCCACTGTAGTTTCACAAATTGTATTTATTAACAAACTTTTTAAACCTGCTAGAAAAGGTGCACGTGTACGTTCGATCGTCGTAGTAAATTGGGTCAGTCAATACTCAATCGAGCCTCATAATATACTGTGCCAAAGAACTTCATAACCGAGTGAAGTGATATAAAGTTCCGGCTCCTTCAGGGAACAGAATATTGCACCACCAAAAAGAATGACAATGATTGGCATTTGTTTCAGAACTTAATTGAATCAAGTTGCAGACTCTTCATGCTTTACAAGCTTCACTCTGTATTTTGATGTCAGGACCACCATCTATTTTATTGACATTTAAGATTTGTTTCCAGTGAGATGTTATTGAGTTCCTATTGTGACTTTGCCGTTGTAAACATTACTGTTGCTGCTATAGAAACTACATTTAGCCTAGTTATATATTCAATGTATGGAAACGTGTAGCTAATATGCACACTATTAGTATTTGTTTAATCATTGTAAGTCATATCGTCAATATTGAGCAATGTTATCCCACATCGCAGATTTTCCTCATGCAGCGCAGGCATACTGGGCGCCAGAAGACTCCGCAAGCTGGAAAACTCTGCTTTCTCGGTCAATATTGCCTACAGTGAGGAATTATTTGCTTTAATTGACTACGTGTACCACCGACATTGGTTGGACATCCTCATGAAAAAGGTGGAAAATGTTGGCTTTGTTGTAAACAAGACGCCATCTTTAACGGTGCATCTGACCCCCAGGTGAACCTCACGCGTCACTGGAGGCGCTTTCTCGTGGTCGGCGCAGCAAGTCGGGACTACATGGCAGAGTGACTGTTGACCCTGAGGCAAGATCTCCACTGCAGCCAACAAACAGTGTGAATCTGTCAGAGTGGCATTTGGGTTCTTGGTAACCCCCCCCCCCCCCCCGCTGACCTCGGTCCGTGTTGCTTGCAGTATTTGGTCTGTTTTGTTGAACAGATATTTCTATAGGAAGAGTCCGGTTGGCTCCATATTTGTCTTGTTTTAATGATGAAGCACAACAACTTCCAGACACATAATGAGCGTATAGAGACTGCAAGCATGCTACATGTTTCCGATGGACAACACCACACGCGCGTGAGTGTGTTTGTGTTCGTCCATTTCTCTGGGTGTGTGTATTTTAGCACACCTCCAAGTAATGGCCATCACCATGCGACCAGGTGACCCAAGCTAGCAATTAGGAGTCCCTAACAGGCTTTCCACAGGAGAGTGTGCACAGATGCAGCGCATGCATTATGTAAAAATACAGTCCCTGAGAAAGTCTCCCCCCCCGGCCAATGACCTCTCTCGCTCCTTTAATCTCATACGTTCTCATCATCGGCCCTGTGTGCAACCGCACAAACAAAAGAACCCATCATGAGGAAGCCACACGACACAGCACATCTGTGCCGTGCCTCCGATGGCGGGAAACATGAGGTGGGTAATACAAAGGAGAGTTAGGGGGAAATAGCAGAGAGAGAGAGAGACACAAAGAAAAAGAGGGAGAGAGAGAGAGAGAGAGAGACCAATTTCTATTCATTTTTTAACTTCAAACTTGCTGGCTACAAATTTGTGGGTTTTTCTGCCTTCATTTCCTATTCATGGCAGTGGAAATAAAAAAAAACTGTGGTCCCACTGTGCTTTTTATAAACGTGGCGGCACAGCGGTGAGTAAGAGTTGTAAACATGATTGGCTTGTTAAAGTATAAAGACAATGGGCTGAATATATGTGGCGCCGACGGTTGTAAAAGTCCAACTCGCACACCTAGTTTAAAGGCCTCTCACCGATTTATGCGAGTGCGTCAGCTCCTTTTTCTGGTCGGTCCAGGAGAATTCATGAGTTATTCTGTTTCATAGCTACTTTCTGTGGTCTCGCATCTCACCTGGCTTGAACACTGGCCATGGGAAAGTTTCCTGTATTCTACCTGGAACTCCTTTTCTCTTCTTTAGTGAATGAAAAAGTATGCACAGTTGTGTTGAAATATAGTATTTACTTAGATGTTAGAGAGCCAAAAGAAGTTGATTAAACAGGCCATTTTGTCTGCTCTAACTTAACCCACTAATGTTAGCATGACCAGCTAAATGCTAAATGACTGTAATGTAATGTAATGTAATGTAAGCAGCAAGTGCATATTTGAGATCATTTTGCAGAATTATTTAATTTTTTTCATGAGAATTAGATGGAAAAATGTCAGCAGAAGTAGAGTTTTAAGCCAAATCAAGGAGTTATCATAATATTACCTCGCTAGCTACATCATAGTAAACCGCAACAGGCGGGGTGTGAACTATAAGGGGGCTAACTACAGTTGCTTACCAGAGAGTTTGTTCTGGTGCAGGAACTCCATCTGCAGCCTCTGTCCAGCACGTTGGGCCAAGAGGTACGGGGTTGAGGAGGCGGGATCCCCAGTGGCGCACATAACATCTGCCCCACTGAACACCAGCGCCATGGTCTGCAGCACGTCAGGCAACACCACCGCTGCACACAGTGCCTGTACACACATAACACGTATTTGTAGGATAATACTGTATTTCAAATGTGGACATATTTCTAACTCAGATGTCAAGGGCTTATTTTTATTGCCCGTGAATCTCATTCATGTAAGTCCATCTGTCACTTTGCGTTTATTAGAGTGATTGACTAATAAAAGGCTGAGTAATTGCAGTCACCGCTCATTGCATTTCTAAGTAGCTTTTAAAAATTTCACATCCCAGACAATGGACAAGTGAAAATCCCCGGAAATGTGCGCATTGGTCTCACGTCCTCGTGTAGCAGAAGCCGCTTGCTGTCGCTCTGTGAGTGTGCCAGGTTGATAGAGGACAAAGAGTCTATAAAGAGGCATCACAAAACCATATAAAAGTTTAGAATCGAGTTCCGCCCGCTGATCTCAAAAGAGGAGTTAAAATAAGATCAAACTTCCCTGTGGGAATCATTAAATCTCTAATCCCTGTGAAAAAAAAAGGAATACAGCAAATAAGAACAGGACAAATGGGCCATATTAAATATAATGAAACTAACAGTTTCAAATTGGAAGAAGAGAAATGTGGGAATAGAGGCATAAAATGAAATGAGTTGAGCAAACAACAACAGCAGAGCACACTGAGGCAAGAGGGAATTCACGGAGCGAATGCTCTGTTCCAAAACATCAAGTGTGGGAGATATGTACAATATGACACCGACAAACAAGACAATGAAATAGAAAACACAAAAGCAATGTGACAATTTAAAGAAATTAGGGGTGTGAGTAGGCCTGTACTGCACACAATTTAACAGTTTCCAAAATTGTCAGTTGAAAAAATGTTAAAAATGGCGTGTATTGTAAAATATAAAAGTATATACTACGTGTAAAAACATGGATTTGTGCACTTTTCACCACACTGCAATTGTGAACTGTTATAATTATGATGTGGGAAATCAATGTTGAAGTGGTCATAATCATACAATCTATTACAAGTGTTCATATAGAAACAAAGTAAGTGCTTTCGCCCTCAATAACACTTCTGCTTATTTCCAGCTTTAGGAAGAGAACTGGCTTGCTCAACTCAGTCGAGTATGATGGCTGCCGACCCAAAAATCACAAATTAGGCAAACAAATGAGTCAGCACACTCACAAATCAGTGTGTAACACTTTTTAATGATGAACAGCAACAAAGGAAAATGGATGTGTTTCAGCCCTAACCTTTCCTCAACATGTTCAGTAATTCCATTTTTTTGAAATGGCGAAAACTTGGACCGTAAGTCTTATTTTCAACTTAAAAAGCACCGTCATAAAATGAGGGAACTTGCGAGAGCCTGTCATATATGTATTTTTATAAATAATAAAAGTCAAGTCTGGGTCGAGATATTTTCTTAGACGTCTGCTCTAAGAGCCACAAGAGGCATCACACAACTGTTTCCACAGGGTATGGGCTCCTCTAGGTGGCAAATAAACTAACATTTTTGTGTAAACATAATTTAAAATTGTGGACCAGACCGCATTCTGGGTCTAACTTTTGTGCCATCTAATCCTAAATCCACAGAATAGTCAAAGTGGAGGAAGCCTGGGAGAAGCGGAGTTGAACAGCAACCACCACAGCAGGCTGTGATAGGCTGAGACACCCGTCAATCAAAGATATCTCAAACACTTCTGCATAACCTGAATATCCTTTTACTAAACTAACATGTTCTTTAAACAAACTTTTACTTCTATAAATACATGTTGAATTTCTCCTTTAATAGGGGCAAAAAAAACCACTTCTATATGTAGTATGTGCAGACAAGCGTTGTTAAAACCATTCGCCCGTTTCACACAGTGTGAAAGCCGAGCAAGATGTAAGAGTCTGACGGAGGAAAATAGTTTCTCTCTCTGTCTGCTGTCTGTCTCTTCCCATCAGCCCAGTCAATTGATGTGACATTGTGCACGATGACCCGACAAAGTGGATCAACAGCGGAGTCGAGTGGCGAGTGGCAAATGGCGAGATTTTCAACGAGCAAACCTCTCCTTTCATCGGAGCGAGTCGGTAAGCCGATCGATCGGCCACGAAACAAGCAAGATCCGTCTGGAAAAAATGAGGCGCGGTGAGGCTGTGCATACACACACACACACACGCACACACACACACAAAAGCACCTGTCAATATAACCTGCCTTCCTACACAAAAAGACTTGCGAGGACTTTCCAAGCACACGGATTCATCTATTGCTATCCATGCGCATCGTTTCCGCAACAGAAAAGATTCATCTTTAACAACAGAAAATGCAAAAAAAATAAAAGGATTTATATAAGATATGATTAGTTTAGTCACTTGCTGTTTTTGTCTCAGCCGCCATCGGGAGACGGGGTCAGATTATGGCGAAATAGTCCCAAGCAACCTGGCCTTATTCTGCATCGTCTCTGGAAATGACCTTCCGTGTCATAGCAATTACTGCAGCCACGAGAGGGTTTATGTGTGTGTCTGTGTGTAATGATATAAGAAGGTCCTCTGAAACCCCCCCCCCCTCTCTCTAGGTCATGTGGCCTGCAGAGACTACGTGGAGGTCACTGGGATATGAGCTTCTGATGGGGAACATGGGACTAAGAAACTGAGAGAGAGCGGCATAAAGAGAGGGCATGAAATGAAGAAACCAGAAAAAAAAAACATCTCAACAGAATAAGAGCGCGCGGCTTCGAGATTATGTAAGAGACATATTGGTGCCGTCGGGAATGAATCACTTCACTTCCTTTTAATTTCATTTCATTACTCGAATTGACACTGTAAAACGGTAATTGACTGTATGTGTTGAGTGAGTCTTGTGACCCCCTGCGCCCATAAAACGTGTTAAAATGCCATCACATGATTTCAGAACGGTATGAATGTCAGTGAGGAAATTGCTCGTATTATTGTCTTTGTTCCAGAGACGAATCCCAGAGGAATAGGTTTTATATAGCTTTATTTTTTTCAGATTCATACTTGTATAATGGTAAGTAAGTGTGACACAAAACTGGAACAACGTGTCCAATGAGATTAGACTCAGTGTCCTTGATTATGTTTAAAACACCTTTTTGGTATTCTTTTTTTTTTTTTTTTCATAGGTTGCGTACGATTTATTACTTTTAGTTTAAGATGAATGAACTTGTTTTGAACATTATTTTAGCACACACACCCACATACACACATACACGTTGAGCCATGGTGTGTGTAATGGTTGTACGACGCAATGATCCCGATTCAAATCTGTTGAACCCATTTATAAAGGCAGACTTTCTTTCTCAATCTCTTGCACGCACACACACA